TGTGTCTTGATCTCTTTTCTGTGAAGCACAGGTATTAATACCTTTTTATTAATTATTAGAGTGTTTCAAAAATGTATTGCTGAAAGACTGCAAACAGGAAACAAAAGAAACCCTATGTACCCATCTCATTAGAGTATCAGAACAGTGTAGGGAAATTCATAAATATGGGATGTAAACCAGAATTATGTATTCATAAGGAGTGGATTTTACTCAACATTCCATTCTGTAGAGTTACACAATGAATTACTCAATTAGTCAGAATTCTAATGAATTAAAATCCCAGACTTTGATGCCATTAGCTGAAAGTGTAATTATTCTCTGGTTTTTTTTTTTCAAACAGATGAAGCGTGCCAGCCAGCACAGCGAAGGAACTGTTGGTTTGTTGACTTACCCTGTGCTTCAAGCAGCAGATATTTTGCTGTACAAGTAAGAGGCAGAATGTGASCCCATGGGCAATGTCTGTTCAGCTACATTGGAATGAATGTTTGCCAGGTCAACATGCTAACTTATTAAGCAGGGGAGTTGGGTGTGATYAGATCAGAAGATTGGAAATGGATGACAGACTCTGGAGTGGCTTTTTGAAATCTRGCCTGGTTAAAAAGCAGCTTTAAAGAGCAAAAAATGGTCACATGAGAATAATTCTTAGGGAATTCTATCAGACTGATGTTTAATTTTACGTATTACATGTTCACACAGATACACTTTTTTTTAAAATTAGTTATGCTTTATTTTATGCTGTGTACTAGAGAGGTACTTAAAATATGTGTATGTAGTATACCAATATTCATACTGATGAAAAAAAATAAGTAATTGACTGCACCTTGTGGTACCTGTGCTGGTTCAGTTTTGTCTCTGTTTTATTCTATGCTGCAATGGCAATAGTCCTTGCTGAAGGTGACAGCATGCCTAAGGCTGTAGCCTGGCTGATAGAATTTCTGGTGCATTGTCATGACTGGTTGTGTTTGATAATGTGATTGAAACTGTCTCAGTAAACAAATGTTAGAGACAGTCCACCAGGTATGAATTGTTTTTATGATCGGAGCATATATATTTTGTGGCATTGTTCTGAAAGAAGTTTTGAGTATTGGTTGGGACAGAGAAGTTATGCAGGACTATGAGGACAAGGAATTCTGGATGGAGTAACTAAGATTAACCAGTTGTGAATTCAGAAAAATGTATCTAGAGAAATTTCATGTTAAATGATCACAGTAGGGAATACAGTACTGTTAAGAGACCAAGAGATGGTATTTCTAATTCACCTGAATTTTAACTAAAAACAATGGGGAGCAAGCAAAAGTCAGAATATATTTGAATATTATTATTTTATTTGCAGAGAGTCCCATTTGACTGTCAAGCATTTGAGTGTTTGAGTGCCAAGTATTTAAGGGTGAAATTTAGACAGCTTTATCAGAAATCACATTATTTTCATTGAGYTCAACYTTGTTTGTCTCTTCCATCTCTAATSAGAAGATGTTTCATCTTTYCTTAGTAAARCCAGTGGTTTGTTKGCTACTGTCTGTATTAACARCTGGTTGYCCACACAGACTACAAAACAAGRAAGTGAAAGAGAAACAGTATCTCTTTGAAGAAATTTGACTTCATATCTTTAATAGGAAATGTTTTCATGTAAACTAATATAAGGAGCAACAGTTTTAGGGAGAAACTGAAGCACAGGAAGGGAACAGCAGAATTTTGAGCTGGAAGAGGGGGAAAAACATTACTAACTCAGATGAACCAAGGATCAAAGACAGGAAAATGGACAGAAGGTAAATACAGGACAGAAAGGAGTAAAAATAGCACCAGAATAGATACAGTAGGGAAAAAAAAAAAAAGCCAGCAAGGAAAAAGGCAAAGYATCATGCAGAGGCTTTTATAGAGATGATGTTTTCTGTTTAGTGGCAAACTGTGAGTATGGAACCATTTTGGCATATGGAAACATTTCTTTCGACCTGCTTAAAGTMTATTGATTATGGTAACTGATTTTCTCTCAGTTACAGGGCACAATTTCCTATTGACTACTGTAACTGTATTTAGGTTGCCTTGCTGATTTTTTGGGAATAAAGGTGGGCAAATTGATTCCTGGTAATTCAGAATCGGAAGGAAAGAGTACCAYGTTGATCTGAAATTTTCTGGGAACTTAAAAGATGCATAGTGAACTTCCTTACTTTGGAACATGTCCAGCATTCAGAGCTGAAWACTCTATAAGCCACAGGAAAAAAATCTCTGCTGGGGGATGTGAGAGTAATCAAAAGCTGGCAAGATTTCAAGTCTGCCTCATCTAAAAGAATCATACATTTTTAGCAAGTATGAGTAACTGTGGGAAAGAATCACCAAGGGAAGTAATAGATTCTTCACCTCCTCATGTCCTCTGATGSAGATTGTATTTCCCTCCAGAAGTGTATTCAAGCCATTGAGTTCAATGCAGAAGATCAAATTATCCTTTGACTCTAACAGATCTAATCCTCTAATAACACTTGTGACCATAGAGGCACTGCACCACATGATATTTATACAATTGTGACCCATGAGGAAGAGCCACTCTCTTATTTCCTTCCTTTGATACATCATCAGTACCAACTCCTCAACAGCTTTATTTTCCTGAGACTTAATGTGACAAGGTGCTTGCACTTYATGCCTTGCAGATCTTTCTTACTTTTTTTGCACACTTAACATGTGCTCTTTGATCTCTGAGAGACAGCAGGAGATACTACAGAAACCTTTCTTTGAGCTGAGTTTAATGAGTTGCTCTTATGGGTATTTTGCCATATATTGGACTATTTTTGCCCTTGGATATGGGCTCCAGTTCAGCACAGAAAGCAGAGTCRCCCTTGAATATGTTCAGCTGAGGTTCTTGTTCCCACAGCACCTATATCTGGCTGGTACTGAGTGTTTTTTCTCAATTTGGCCCTCAGTCATGGCAGAAGCTGTGACAGTCTTGAGTAACATTTCAGCAGAACCAGAGAGCTTTACTGAATTTCCTGTATCTGTCTTTTATTAAAAGGTCAACACGTGTTCCTGTTGGAGAAGATCAAGTCCTGCACCTGGAACTAGCCCAAGATATAGCACAACATTTCAACAAGAAATATGGAGAATTCTTTCCTGTGCCCAAAGCCATTTTAAGTGAGCTGGTCTCAGTTATTTTYCTTTCCCTTAACTGCACTTCAAGCTTGAAGATGGATTTAAATATTGTGGGTGTAGTTTTGGGGACCAAGAAAAGAGGGCAAACTGATGCTAAGGGAGTGAAAAATTTAAAACTGACAACGAGAGACTGGAGGCTGTGGAACTGAACTCCCAAAATAAATATAAGGCTTTAGAAATCTCTAAAGGTAGAGGAATGTATGTGATGCCTGATGTTCTAATCCAGGGGGCCAGATGCACTCTACTGCTGCCAGTCAGCCTTATTCTTCTTTTAAGAGGGTCTCTGATCCATTTTGCTCATTCAGGAGACATKTAAGCAACAAAGCAAGAGATCTCTAGCAAGCAGAATTCTTCAGTGTCCAAGTGGTGGATGATTACATTAAACRTGCTGAACAGCCTGTTGGTTTATTGTTACAGTGCTCCAATTTTTTTTTTTTAGGGTGTTTAATATATACTTGAATATTTCAATATGTGTCTGTCACAGAGCTTAAAACTTTACAGGTTTGATCTTAGACTTATAAGGAAAATCTTCTCAGCCATTTTTGAGCTGTAAGGTCATAGGCCGGGGGGTGAGGAGGAGTCAGATGGCACAAATGGCATTTTTGTTAAGAAACGTGAAGAATTGGGCAAGGATGAAGCATTGMATCTTTGTTGGAAGTAATGTAGAGGAATGCACAGCAAAGACCTTCGCCCCCAAAAGGGCAAGGAGCTCTCACCTTAGAAAAGACAAGCAGTAATATTCCTTTCTCAATTTTCAAGTCTCAGTGACAAAAATGGTGTTAGACCTGGAGTGGAATTTGGAGAATATTAGGTATTGCAAACTCTGCAGTTTCTAATTGAGTGCTAAGCACTGTAAAGARGAGCTGAGAGTAGCCTATGATGCAGGTGAGACTGTTTACCTTTAAATACTCAATTTGAAAATTTGAAATTTTTTTTTGAAAAAAAAAAAAAAGGGACTGATTCAGGCTCACTAGCTGCAGACAATTGAATTACCTGGACTCTTTCAAATTTACAGAAAAGAGACAGACTCTTCCAAAAGGTGATTTCTGAACAAAGCACTTTCTGGGGCAATCTGAGCTGGAAGAATCCTTATCCTTTCACTGGGTACATAGGCCATCTATGGGCAGTATGCAGGTAATTTACTTGGCTCTATTAGGTGTCTAAAAACAATTGGTGTGAGTACTCTGTCCATCAGTGATGCTTTATGTACTCCATGAACCATATTTCTTGGTGAAAAACAGTGTGGGTTGATGCTGTTAAAGTACTTTGCAATATTCCCCTAATGCTACTAATCTATTCCATGTACATGCATATATATTAGTAGTTTGTACAAAACCCACACCTTTCTTATCTGAACAGTGCTTTACCTTTAACAGAGCTGGTCAGTGTTGAGTTAAAGTATTTTAATAACTGTCTTTACTGAGATTTAGGAGAATTATTATGGGATTTGGAGTGGAAGAGTTTCCTGAAATAAGGAGATTAACTGTTATGGGTTTGTTTTGGGGTTTTTTTTTCCTACCAGTGGCTTTAACCTTGAACCTTTCAGTAATGTGCAGTTCAGGCTCTGTAGGTAACTCATTCCCATTGCCAGCAGTAGAAGGGAGGAGAAATTTCAGGGGGAAGATCAGCATGTAAGACATGTAAAATATTATGAGTAGTCCCAGCAGAAGTTCCTGCTCAGTGAGGATGGGAGAGATTCAGATTATGAAAGGAGAAGGTGCAAGGACTAAACAGAGCATACATKATTGAGCTCACAATATATTTCTGAGCAAGGATAAACAGCTTCATCACATTGCTGCAGAATGCTTTTAGGAATTGTTATATTGTGTTCATAATAATTTCTCTTTTTTTTTTTCCTAAAGGTACAACAAAGAAAATCAAATCCCTCCGAGATCCATCAGTGAAGATGTCCAAGTCAGACCCCCAGAAGTTAGCTACTGTGAACATAGCAGACARCCCTGATGAAATAGTGCTGAAATTTCGCAAAGCTGTGACTGACTTTACCTCAGAGGTGACCTATGACCCTGCTGCTCGCCCTGGAGTCTCCAATTTAGTGGCCATTCATGCTGCAGTAACGGGGCTGAGCATCAAAGAAGTGCTGCACCAAGCCACGGGGCTCGACACTGCTCGCTACAAAATGGTGGTGGCAGAGTCAGTCATCCAAAAATTTGCACCTATCAGGAATGAAATCAAGAAACTCCAGGAAGATAAGTCCCATTTGATGAAGATTTTRGAGGATGGAGCAGAGAAAGCCAAAGAACTGGCTGTTCCTATCTATCAAGAAATAAGGAGACTGATAGGATTTCAGTAGAACCTGCTGAGATATTGCAAGAATTTTTGTATCATGGGACRGTGATTTTGTTATTTGTAACAAAATCATTGATTATTAATCATTTTTGGTTTGAAACAGAGGCTTTTTTTCCTGGAAGATCAAAGGAGACCATTAAAGAACGTGCATGAAGCCAGATATCTCCAGTGGGACCAGTTGAAGAGGGACGACAGAAGCAATCACGATTCACAAAGAAATTGTGTAAAAGCAGAATATAAGATTGCCTGTGCATTTTTGGATTTTTCCATTGACCACTGCAATGGAAAGGTGATCAGAATCTAGCAGATAGATTTGTAATCCTCTCAAGAATTTACTTAGCTGTGTATGTTGATACAGAGCAACAATTTCTCCTATTGGGAGTTATTTGAATTTGATATGGTGATTAAACATGTTTTTGGAAAACCAGAATAAAAACAGAGACTTACAAATAAATGCTCAGGGTGATGAAGAGAAAACTTACTAATTCTCCCTATAGTGTCTTCAAATTGTGTGAATTTTTTTTTTAATATCTGTAGTTTGTGTGAAGTGAGTTAATGTGTCTCTCTAAAACTCACCATGGATWCTGTGCTCAGTGTGCTCAATGACTTCCTTGATAGTCACTCCAAAGAATCCACAGAGCAGACTTGAATTTCACTTTGTGCCATCCTGCTGGTCAGGTCTAAAGCATTTCAGTGAGAAATTAGAGCAGTCCTTCAGCTGCTCCCATTTTACAGGCTGTTCTGTTCAGCAGAGAACTCCAGGATTTTCAGTCCAGCATCAAGTCTAGGATTACTTTCAAAAAGATGTAGAGGAAAAGAKGTAATCCTGAATCAAAGAAATTTTGGGTTGAGAATCAGAGAACTTTGTGTAAAGTTTACAAAATTACTTTTTTAAAAAATTGTGCCAAAGTCAGAGCCAGAATAGAGTTAAATTGATCTTTATGAATTCTTTTATCACTAAAGATAAGTGAACCTTGAGAAAGCATTGGGATGGGAGAAGAATGTTAGCCTGCCCTGATCTTAGGCTTCACAAGGTCCACAGATTGGGACCCATGGATCATGGATTTGTCAAAAAATGTGTGGCAAAGGGGAAGTGCCCAAAGGAGACACCAGGTTCTGAAGAGAGGTAGCAGTACATGTTGAAAGGGRATGAAAGCCCTCCTGGTCCTGTGCCAGCAGATTTGAGTGTATCGTTCCTCTTCATGGTGCTGGGGTTGAAATTGCTGTACTGTGATGTAAATTGAGTTAATCCTGTGCTCTGGCAACTCATAACTACTCTGTGCCTGTGGCATTTATCATGAAGGATTGCAGACTTACATGAGTTAGTAAAACATTGGGGTTGTGGGTGGGGCATGTTTCTACATAGTGCAGTTGGTTGGGTTGGGTTTTTTTCCTAAAAAGCAGTATTTAGTTGATTATAGTGAGCTGATTCAGAAAGAAATGCTTAATTTTCCAAAACATGAAGCTGAGGACTGAGCAACTCCACGTCTGCACTCAGACCTGTATTAATTTGGGTCTGAAGAAGAGAGCTTCCATGCAAGGTCTTGATGATGACAGATTTTCTAAAATTAGTCAAGACTAGAGRAGCAGAGTGGATGGTGACAGACTTATTGGAACCCAAACTCAGTTTAGACAAACCTAAGGTAAAGTGCTCTGGAAAGAATAAGTATATTMAAAAACAATCCCTGATTTTAAGTTTAATTATAACTGTGTATAATTATGTAGTTTTACWGAACTTTTTTCAGTGTTTAACATCTGCATTAGGAAACTTAAGACAAAAAAATTAAGGCACACAATTACTGCTGCTGACTGACTAGGCATTAAATGTTTTCTCTGGCACTTTTTTAATATAGTGGCACTTCTTGATTTCTGCAAAGGTCCCACAGTATGTTCCTTAAGAGAAACTAATATGGTGCTTATGAAGACTCTTTAATAGTATTTTACAGTATTATTATCTTTAATAATACTGTATCTAGTTTCTACCTATACCTCTTTCTCACTAGCAAGGATAGAAGAATATATTTAAAGGACAAACTGTATTTTCAAGGTCTCTTTTTGCTTCTGATACTCAAATCACTTAATATATAGAGTTGCCATTCAACACCTTCTTTGCAGTGGAAAGACAGTAGGAGAATTCATGGGAGGGGTTGACATCAACAGATAATTTTGATTTAATTTTGGTTCTGTGGCAATTTTTACTAAGTAGTGCAGATGAGTTAAGACAATTGTTTGGAGAGCAGTTGTTGGAGAAGACCTGATGCTTTATATTTTCAAATTATTTTTTTCACACTAACTCTAGTGTTAGAGATTTAATGTTTGTTTGCAATGAAGCAATCTTAAAATGTATTTTCACGTTTGTTTTTATCCAGATCATATTCTCTAAGACTTCTCTTTGATGTCAGCTGAAGTGCAGTTGGTGGGGAKTTTCTGCAGGAGCAGCTCCTGATCCCACTGCAGTGTTGAGCAGACACACCCTGTGTTATTGTGGAAATCACTGTAAGGTATTCTTCCAGGACAGGATGGGCAAAAGGTCCAAATACATCTTTCCTAGTTGAAAAAAAAAAGAGTTGAAAGGTGGAAGGGTATCCTTACCC